GAGAGAGAGAGAGAGAGAGAGAGAGAGAGAGAGAGAGAGAGAGAGAGAGAGAGAGAGAGAGAGAGAGAGAGAGAAAGAGAGAGAGAGAGAGAGAGAGAGACACACGGACCGGACAGGGCATGAAAAGGGAAGGCGTTTTGGTGCCGTGGTGCCCCCTGTGCCTCCCTGTGCCCCTGATGAGGGAAGCATGATAGAGTGATGTGGGGGTGGAGGGCCTTGGCAGCATAAAGACCCATTGTGGAGTCAGCGGAGTGGGGCACAGCCCTGCCGTGGGGACCCCCAAAGCCTGGAGGGGGAACAAAGACCCTCCTATGAGGCTGCATGGGAAAGACTTGGACATCGCCGCTGCTGCTACTGCCACTGACCGCACCATGCCTGGGAAAAGTTGCACGAGAGCAGCACAGCAGATGAGAGAAGGGTGGATGGTGAGAAAATATGACGAGAGATGAGAACAAAGCGTGTGAAGAAGACACCAATAGTATCGTCGGGAACATGCTAAGCTGCTCTAGCGTCAGCACACGTCATAGTCTGACTTCCTGTGTGTTGGGCACACCAAGCGTCTGAGGGCTCTGTGGGTTTTCCCCACACACAGGACCACATAGACACACAAAGGCAAAACACACTCACATATCAATCCACACAGGATCCATATGCTATTCAACAGCTGGAGAGCTTATTCGTTCAGACACAATCATACAGCGCTCAGGCAAGGATGCACACATCCACATGTGAGAACACACACACACACACACACACTTGTGTGTTGTAATACTTCAAAGCACATGACAGAGGGGCGAGCGAGGGGCAAACAGTTGTACTTGCATCTAAAAAAATGCGTGTTGGCATGCGTTCAAACATCTCTGAACATTTACAGCGTCACATGTGTGAATACTTTGCACCATCTTTTCCGGAAAGATAAGATCAACCAAAATGACCGCATTCTTTATTTAGATTTAGACAGCTATTGTAATGGTCTTATCACAAACATAGGTAATTCATTGCTACACTGTTATCATTCCACTGTAATTACCATCGCTGTTTTCTTTTTCGACACACACTTGCTGCAGGCTGTATAGCCACAGTTATGGCATCGTAACGACTTTATTAGTCCCTTGACTGAAAACACATGAGGAGGTAACCTCAATGAGGGTTTAATTAGACAACAAGTTCTTGTTAAATTCCTCCCAGACATAACCAAACCCAGAATAATTGGGTATGGATGGTAAATCGAGGGTAATATTGCAAATATAAAGTATTCACACCTGCTGTAAGTGTTCAATTTCGTAATGAATTTTTGTAAAGGATAATTAGGCTTCTTGTGCGTTTTAGCCCACACTTGTTTTTAAATAGCTATTCATATTTAAAACCATGCCTATTCCTGAATGATTATAACTTTTGTAATTAAGAATCGTCCATTTTTTATTTATTTTTGGACACTTTCATAGTGCAATCAATGCAATCCTCACAGTGTTTTGTCATCAGTCATTTTGCTAATATTTGTCAAAAACTGAAGATGACTCTCCGACACAACCTCTCACACACACATCTATATAGAGCATGTGGGGGCGGTACTGATACAGACAGATAGTTTCTCTATCATCATGCTTGCATGTTTTGAAGGTGACGCTAGTGAATCGAAAAATATACACGCAAAGCGAAATGCAACGGATGAAAACTATTTTATTCGATAAAAAAATGAACATAATAAAGTAGCTGGCTGGACTTAAATGTGTAGATGACTGTTTGGCCGGCGCTCATGGAAGGTTCTGCTACTCGTGCGTTATGATACTGCTGGGTGTGTCAGCTATAGATTTAGATGGCACAGACGCATCCGGGCACATCCACGGCCACTTGGCCGGTTTGAACCGCCTAACTCTGCATATACACTGCATGTGTTAAGAAATGACTTAGATTTAGACTTTGACACTGCATCAGCATTTCTCTGACCCACAAACTCTTTTGGGATTCACTTTGTTTTGAGATGATTCACACAGCATATATAGGCAGAGTGTATAGTCTGCAGAGAGGGAAAGAAACAATCTTCCTCCAGCCAAGTAAGTCAGCAGTCAGAGATCATAATGCTGTGGGTGTAAGCACACACGCGAGTGTGTAGGGCATGTGCAGATGTGTGTGTATGTTCTCCAGTCAGAAAGGAGAACTCATAACTCATCACTATACTTCGGGAATGATTGTTAAGTTTTGGATTGGCTCAAGGGTGATGGACCTACAGACAATACGGCAGTGTGAGTGCTCCTGAATGCCTTGCATTTTTATAGGGTTATGACAATCCATTTGTTTATCACTTTGACATCTGGAATCCATTGTGTTATTGCAGGGAGAAGCAGGGAGAGCGCTGCGCCGGGCAAAGCCCTCACCCCTCTCACTCTTACTCACTTTCTCTCCTTCTTCCAGTCCCATCAAGTCAAGAGTTGTTTTTTTTCCTTTTTCCCCTTCGCTGCTGTCTCCATGTTGGCCTCTTGGGTCAGAGGAGCTCAGTTCGAAAAAATGCAAAGGAATTGGATAATGAAACTCCAGCAGAGGGGGCAATAGATTAATTACTATGCAGAGGAAGGACATTCCCTGCTCAGAGCCTGCCTGTGCTGTGTATGCATGTCCATGGGCAGAAGTCACTTCAGTGTGTACAAGTCTGTGTATTCTTTCTTTTTTATGTAGACATTAGGACAGACATGATGGAGTGGTGGCACAGTGGAGTCATGAGAACAGTTGACATCAGAGAAATAATGAGGTGTGGAAATACATGCATTGACTTCATATCCTTTTTTCTCCTGCTTCAACCTACCCTTTCACCTCTGCCATTTGCATTTGGCGTCTGCGTCAGACCTCTCAGTCCTTCCTCTCTCCCTCCCACAATCCCTTTTTTTTCTATCTCTCCTTAGCTCCGATTCGGCGGCCCATCCCTTTCCCATAACCCTGGGCTGATGCCTGGGACCTCGGCATGACCCGCTCTACATTACTACATTGCTTAG